GTACTGCCGTACATGCTAGCCACTACACCACCAAGGCAGTTAAATTAAACAATTATTCTATTTGTAACATAAGATTTAGGCTAAAATCGGCGAAAAGAAAAATTAACACGCATTTCTAAGTATATAAATATATAATCAACTTTAAATCATGAATGTCTATTAACAAAGCCTGACACAATAATAAGACTTATAATGTATCATAACAAATATTGATAACAGTATCGATTTGATAACTGTTTTTGCCCTAGATTTTGCAGTAAAAGCTTATCACATATCGGTCACTTCTTAAATTGCATAAAATAAGTTTTATAAAGGGTTTTTCTTATTTAACACTTAGGTTAACAATTTTACTTCCTGTGTGTTTTACACACGATATTTATTTTTGTAACCGACTTCCAAAAAGGAGGAGGTTCTCAATTCGTCGGAATCTTTTTTTTTTCTTTTTTTAGTATGTTCACCGATTACTCGAAGACGCCTGAACCGATTTGGAAATATTTTTTTTTTGTTTCGAAGGGTATACTTCCCAGGTGGTTCCATTTAAATTTTATCGAAATCGGTCGAGCGGTTTTTTTAAAATCAACAATAAATTATTATTTTTTTAAATAAATTGCTTAATCGAATATGTTATTAAAACACTTTCTTCTTACAAATTACCTTCTTATTACGTCTACACTAAAAATAGAAAAATAAAAACTTTTTAAAAGTCGGTGCCAGCCGACAATATTTTAAGATATGAATATCTAATATTTAAATATGTATTTTACGTATCGAAATATATTAGACTTGCTTTGCATCGGCTGGCACCGACTTCGAAAATATCTGATTATGTACCTATTCTAAATGAAAACCTCCGTTTAATAAATATTTACAAGTCGGTTTTTTTTAAGTTTTTATTACTAAGTAGATACTACCACAGATCACATAATACTATACGAGTACTAGTAGTATGTACTACAATTTTACTTACGTAATAAAATTTAAATTAAGTTAAACTTAATTTAATTAAAAACTTAAACTTGAAATTAAGCTTAAGTTGTCTTAATTTCAATACAATGGGAAGTAAGTTTTGAAGAAGAAAAATACTACTAAAGTCACTAATTTCGTAAATGTGAAAATTCAAGAGCGAGTTATTGAGTGAGTAAGTTACTTCTTGACTTCTTCACTATAACTGTTTAAAAGATTTATGTGAAATTCGAAATTGAGATACCTATCTATAATTTGCACATAGTCATAAGTTTTTTATCCCCATACCTACCATATAAGTGAAGCCGTGAGCGAAACAAGTCTATTATAAAACGTTAACTTTTATATATTTATATTGAAAAATATATTCTACGATAAATATGAATAATAGAAAAACCTATGAGAGAATTTCGTTCATTCAGAAATATAATCATGAAAAATGGAAAGATACATATCTACTACTTTCAGTCATTTCTGGGTAATTCATTTTGCAGTACGAAAAATTAAAGAATTCAGATCATAAAATAACAATAAGAGAAAGAGTATAGCATTTTGGTACCAATTTAAAATGGGAGCTTGTAATTCAAATCGTTATCGTTGCATTAAGCCCGAGAAGGGGGTGAAGGTTTCGACCTGCTATCCTAGATGCGTTACCAAGGTAACTCCATGTACCCTTACATTTAGTGTACTGTGCTTGCTTCTGAGAAAACGTATCATTGAATGAATCTTTTCAACTTATAAAATTATAATTTATGGCAGACGATGCCCCATAAAAATTTCAAAGTAATGTGAACGTTCTTACAAAATACTATAGAAATTGCGCTTTCTATTTTTCCTAAATCTTAATTTTGTGGGTAAGTGATATTCGTAATCTTAATGCTGATAAATATTTTGATATAATATTTTGATATCCTCAGAAAATTAAAAAATTGTTAATTAATTAATTGCTTCTAAAATAGAGAAAATTTAAGCTTTATAGTAGCTTTTATACTGCGTGTTTATCATTCTTTTTCATTTTTCTTAGTGCACTCCTTTACAATAAATAAGTTATATTAATTTTTATATTTTATTTTACTGATTTAGTGTTTATATTATGTTATAATAATTCTACAAAATATATTTAAACAATATTGCAATACAAAATAAGTAATACCGTAAAATTAACCCAAATACCTAAATCTATCGCTAATAGATAGTTTTGTCCGTAAGCGTTTTAGGCTATTTATTATTCAAGAAGATATTTTTAGTAAGAAATCACAATCGCAAAATCTAATAATAAAGCTATAAAGACCTGAGTGAACCAAATGGAGTGGTGTACATCACTAATATGTGGTAATAAAGTTCTTAGGTGAAAATAATCTCCTATATTTAACAGGAGATATAAATAATCAGTAAAAGTTAAAAGGAGACACAGTAAAAATAAAATCGAATAAAATCGGCGTGGCGAACCTTTGCACTGTACGCTATGCATCGACTATACTGCGTAAGGTTGAATGTTATAATATTTAAAAAATATATGTAAATGTATGTATAAACTATGACTATAACAATAAATAAAAAATGTGTAAACTTCAGCAATTAATGTACCTAATAAAAAATTCAACTGACAGAAAAGGAACCGAAAAGAAACCAAAAATATAACTAACCTTTTACTTTTGTAATACCCAACTACCTACACAATTTTCAGCCGGCATATTCATTAGGCGCCGAACGCACATCTATAGGTACCTACTTCACACTAATAATATAAACGTGAAAGTTTGTATGAATGTGTGTGTGCGTGTGCATGCGTGTGTATGTGTGCGTGTATACTTGTTACTACTTCGGGCTGTAACGGCTAAATAGATTTGAACGCAATTCAGAAAGGTGATAGCTTATGTCCTGGATATGTACATACGAGTATGTTAACATAGACTATTTTTATCGACACGAGCAAAGCTATGGTTAAAAACTAGTATCAAAATATTAATTAAAAATGAGAACCTTAGGTAAGGTTGATGAAGAATCAAAAAGCATCCTTATCTTCCACGTGACCTGAAATCTTCCTGACCTGAAATCTTGTAGTCCCGGGTACTGACCCCGCTAAATATTTCGCCAGTAGCAATATTAGCCAAAGCTGTAGCTGATCGTACTCCATAAGTTATTGTTCAAAATATTTTAAAAATATTTTTACTTGTATGTCTAACGAGATGATCTCGGTTAATACTGCATTAGTGTAAATTAAAATCTTCAAGTAACCAAGTTTTTATCATGCGTCACGTGTATACAAGGAGGCATTTAAAAATCACTAAGCTAATAGAAATCCAAAATAATGTATTTAGCTGACATATTTAATTATTATGTCTTATGGTTAGCATGAATAAGTTCTATATCTAGTTTTAGTTATCTATTAGCGATATCGAGTGCAGAAAACTTGTCTAAGAGGGCACCGGGCAGGGCAGACAGGGAGTTCAGTGACGTTTTAGTACGTTAGTGTTTAGTTGCTGTTTAGACAAAAAAATAGAGAATTCCAGAGGTATTTTTGCAATACTGGATTAAAAATACAATTAGTAAACAAAATGCTGTTATTACTAACCTAGCACGAGCTATAATTCAAGAAAAAGATCTTAAAAATTATCATATTGTTTGAGCTAATTGTCGATCACGCATATAAACTTGTGCGTGTTCAGTGATCACTCGCGTGAATACATAACAGTATTAAGCAAAGAAACAGTGATAGCCCTCGAAACCCGGAGTTTAAATATCTTTCCGTAAAATGATGAAATGTTTGCATATTCTATATATAGGTATTTATGGGGTAAAAAAGACAGCATAAAATCACCTCACAAGTTAAATTTTTTCGCCAGTTTTAAAATTACGAGGATTCAGTAACGTTATATTGTCCTAATAATTAAGTATTATGTAGGTATATTTAAACACTTCATACATTAAATGAAATCCCATTTAAGATTTAACAAATACCCTTCTACATTTGACTAAGAAGCCCTCTGATCATGCATAATGAAGGCATAATAAGTCTTGTAATATTAATTAATACTAAACAGGATGCAAGAGTATAATAGTTTACATTATAATCGTAGCAATACAAATAAAGAGATCAAAAAACACAAGGACTATTATCTTTGTGGTGTCTTACTTACTCATTAATAAAAATAATATTAATCACTAAGTACCTGATAGTTCTTTAGCTCAGGTCTACGAATAAATAATAAGTCTATTTATTCGTAGGCTCCAGTAGGTAGTTTTATAATGAAAACTTTTATATGTCAAAATTTAAAGCGAGAAGATTACAGTAAAAAGTATTTACTCCCACCTTTGAATGGCCTGTACTATAAAAATTGTATTCTATTATTGTAAAAAAAAAATCATTACCGCTAATAGATATAGATAGATAGTATTTATCTACTGTCAGAAATCACAATAACTTTGAAGTCAGAAAAAACTGCCCCTTAACTTGCTTTATCGGCGTAATCTTTAGTTAACGGTTTGAAATAAAGCAATAAAATGTTTGGTAAAATTAAAGTTTGTTACACTTTTACGTAAGAACTACTGAATGGATTTTGATGAGTGTTTACCAGTAATATAGCTAATAGGAGTGTAACACATAGGCTTATTATTTATAATGATATCTATACATGTAATAAAATTGTAACTAAGCCGAATCTGTACATTACATATTTTTTGGAAAATCTTATTTTAGAATTTTTGTCTGTCTGTCTGTTACCGCATCACACAAAAACCACTGGAGGTATTTTGATGAAATTTGGTATGGTGATAGCTGATTATCCGGGTCAACATATAGAATACTTTTTACCGCGAAAAAAATATCTCATTTCTGAGAAAAAATACAAAAACTGCAATGTAAGAGTAATATCTATATGTAAAACCTAAGAATTTGATTTTTGTCATCTGAACGCGGGCGAAGCCGCGGGCAATGCTAGTAGTGATATATAATGAAACTATGTGAGCGGAGGCGTAGGAAAATGCAAGTAACTTAATATAGTGAAACAATTCCAGCGTGTTACAATGGTGCGGTGATGGCGGATGGGGAGTGCGCGGCGCGTGGGGCGGCGCTCGAGCGCGCGTACGTGCACGACGTGTACGAGCAGGCGGGCGACGACGCGCCCTGCGCGCCCGCGCCCGCCGTGCGCTCCTTCCTGAACGATCTCGAGCCTGGCAGCCTTGTGTGCGATATCGGTGAGGCTTATTATATTATGTACATATGTGATACAGAATTTTAACTGCCCCGGTGGAGTAGTGGCTAGCATGCACGGTCGCAGATTCGGAGTCCGGGATGTGAGTCCCGGGTCGGGCCAAATTCAATTATTGAGTATTTTTGTTAAAAAATATTAATAACATCCCGGAATGGAAATGTAAATTTTTTGAATTCATTTTGTTATTTGTGGGTAGGCTGTCTGTAACAACTATATAATACCTTTGAGACATCTAACACCTTGAATCTTTCCCGTGACCATGATTGCTGTAAAGCATTCGAAACGTCGTTTTTCGCGGGTTTAGTTTGATTTTTGGTTCCCAAAAATCAAACTAAACCCGCGAAAAAATCCGAAAAGATAGTTTTATTTAAAACAGCCCGGAGTTGAAAGGGTTGAAAGTTGGCGGTTTTTCACGCCTGTGCCTCGGAGAGCACGTCTCGCGTCGGTCCTGTGCCTTAACTCTCACTGATCGTGTCGAGTAGTCGTCCCACCGAAAAATGAGAGTGATAGAAATAGAGAGTGCACTTGTGTTTTATACTTGTCCTTTATAATATGTCCTGCACAAATGGCTCAGTTTTAATGAGATTGGCCACCGTGGCCATGCGTGACATTATTATTTGTTATTATAAATAAAAAATACTATCATCGGACAGGCCAAGCCAATGTTTATAAGAAGCTTATGATTTTATCTTAATTAATCGTAGTAAGTCCATTAATCAGTATATTGACCAGATATTTGTTATAAGAAAATTATAATCTACTCTTTTATATGGCTTATTCGGTATAAGTACATACAATTAACTTTGTATTTACGTTACAGTAAACTCTCCCACGCTCGACAGCTGTGACATTTATCCTCACTTAATATATTAAGGCGAATTATTAGACACGCTTTAAGGAGAATAAATAGCTACATTGTTACACAGGAGGTTGCCAGTGAAAAGTCATATTATACTCTTGGGGCACTCATTGTAGATCGGGGGCGTAAAGAAATCTGCCCACGCGAGCTTTTAATATATATTATATCAACAGATAATTAGCAATTCAATACCGAACACTTTAGTGTATAGGCGATTTCTGATTCCTTTTTAGGCACGAGACTAGTGATTTTGATATTTTAAAATTAAATAATAAAAGTTTCATAAATATTCAATTTTAACTTTAATTATAGAAAATGATGTTGGTTTCAAAAATTAATGATAAATTATGCTATTTTTTTGAGTCTAAATATCTTTTATACCTATTAAATTCGAATAAAAAATCTACAAATTTTGTTGAAAACTTTTTGAAAACTTAATAAGTACTTAGAAAACTTAGAAAGTAACATACGACGTACGTATATAAAATGTGTCAAAAATTAAAATTTATCATAAATTATTTCCAGGGTGTGGCAATGGAAAGTACCTAAGCGTGAATCCGTCCGTGTTCGCGGTAGGAGGAGACCGGTGCACCCGCCTCGCTGCGCAGGCACATCACAATAGCAATGAAGTATGCTATGCTTTTCATTTTCATTAATTTTATATTTCATTCTAAGTCTAACAACAACGAACTCATAACAGACTAAAGTCGCAGTAAAAATATCTATTTACTACCCTGGCTTTAATGTAGTCAATGAATATTACTAAACTTAAATGCTAGATAATTGTTATATAATATTATTATTTATACTTACTGTATGTTTTGCCATTATTAAACTATCATTTTGTCTAAAATAAAATAGAGAAGAAGGAAATCTGTGAGAACTAAAGAACCTATGTATCGATATCTTCAAAGAAGTATATTGTAACTCAGCATTTACATAATATAAAAAAACAAAAATAATTTCGTCATATGTTTTTAGTGGAAAGATAACTAAATAGCTTAAAAATATTGTCTTTATTTAAGGTGGTGGTATGTGACAATCTATGCCTACCATTCCGCGATGAGTCGTTCGACGCGGTGCTCTCTATCGCGGTGGTGCACCACTTCGCGACGGTCGAGCGCCGGGCGATGGCTCTGCGAGAACTCGCGAGAATAACGAGGATCGGTGGACGGTTACTACTCACTGTGTGGGCTATGGAGCATGAAGGAAGGAATTTTCATTCGCAGGTAACTTCAATGTGAAATCTAGATGAAAAATAATATACGTATGAATAAAATAGTATGGCTTAATAGGACTCAATAAAAAGCCTAGTTTATTGACTTGAACTATATATTTTAATAAATTGAAAAATTACAAATTAATTCAATTAATATCATATTCTAAAGTTGAATTCGCATTGTTTTAGGATGTTTTAATACCCTGGCATCGACCAGCGACGTTATGTCCACCGCCACCAGCTCCAAGGTTTCTTTCAGTGGAATATGACCAGTAAGTGTATATTTGAATACGCTCTACAATCTAAACATTATCCCATTATTTTGATATTAAATATTTAATATTAATTTTTATTTAACAGCTGCTACGAACCATGGAAGAGTAAAGATGGTTCTCCGGGATCATCTTCACTGTCGTCGCCCAACGAAACATGCTACTCATTCGTGAGACGTGCTCTACAACGACTTGCAGGACGTCGCTCCTTTCTACCTTCTTGGGGAATAAATAGAGCTACACAAAGACCTTGTCCACGGCCAGAACCACCTGCAGCAGATTTACCAATCGAACTGAGGCGATTAGATGAATTTCTCCCGCCTCGACTAGTTTCTCAACCTTCCGAAACATCTACAATGAAATCTCGAAGTCTTACCGACATAGCTGACATAGAACGTCGAGCGCTTGTTAGATCGAGGTCTAGTCTGCCAAGTTTAGGAGGTGAAGAAAGTGAACCAGTTGTAATAGAAAAACCAGTGCAGCCTGTCATAGAACGCAAAAAACCGCGACTTGTCAAGCAAAAGAAATCTATTAATGAAGATGACGCTGATGAAGATCTCGATAAACCCACAGATATGAAAAGTTTGGTTGAAGAGATGCCCAATTTTAAGGTTCATACTCAAAAATTACACTCTAAAAAGCCGGGTGTGTTTAAACAGACTTCACTGAACGAAGAGCTAATGTCTGTAGAACGGTTAAGAGAAAAGGAGCGGCTCAGAAAAAATATACAAAAACAAGCGTCACTTAACGAAGAGTATTTATTCCGAAGACCAGGTGCCTTGGATTCAATCCGAGACTCGATATTCTCAACATCAGCAACAACTGCTAAAAAATTTCAATCACTTAAAAATGGCCTTACAAATAAATTTAAAACATCTACAACGAATATAGATAAAGTTACGGTATTCGTAAGAATGCTTCAAGGCTGGAAAAATCACGGACCGGTACCAGAAGTTCCTACTCCAAGTGATAATAATGCGAACAATGAAAAAAATTACCCTGAGAGGCGACATTCGAAAGAGGATGGCTCTGATTCTTCAAAGGATAGTAGTCTTCAAAGTGATACAAGTGTTGATTCAGAAGATAGTTTTGCATCTGTCATATACGTACCTAAAGCAGATGGCTCTGGTGATCCATTATCACCAACGCCATTATCTCCGGGACCCACATCCCCAAGACTCAAAGTATCGTCTGTACCAACATCACCTAGATTGAAAAATTCTCCTGGACTACCATCACCTAGAATTAAACAAGCTTTTCCGTTAATCAGACCACCAGCATCACCGAGTGCTGTGCAGGCCCCCGGACCCAAAATCTTAGTAGCTCAATACAGTTTAAAAAATTATTCTACCACAAACAATGTTGCTCCAGTTCCATTAAAACCACAATCGAAAAGTCAGCCTAATTCACCTCCGAAATCAGAACCAGATGAAAATATACTAAAAACTGAAATTCCGACTATGATTAATAACGTCTTGCCCATTGATTTATATGAAGAAATTGATCCTATTCCACCAATAAAAGAAGAGGAAGAGACCCCAACTGAAGTAACAAAAGAATTAATTGCTGAAATCAATAAAGATATTGAAGAAATACATAAACTAACAGCAGACACCGATGATATAAAACCAAGAGTTCTACATCAGGATAGTAAACCGTATCCAAAAATAACTCTCCAAACAGTTGCAGAATTGCCAGAAATACCTCAATTTAAACCAAAGCAAATATTTAAACCACAAACGAATGATACATTAGATTCTAGAGCGGCAGAAAGAAAGAGAAAAGAAAGAATACGACAAATTAAAGAAATGTTAAATAAAGGTATTCCTGCAGTAAATGTAAGCAGAAGACCACCATTTCCATTTGTACGTAGCACTAGTAAAGCAGAGCCCATCGCGAAGAGCCATCCGAAACTTATGTCGCTAGAATTGTTCAACCCAGCTACTGATGATATGGATAGCGACTCAAGTGGTGTATCTTCCCCAGGCTCTGTGGACAGCGTTATAAGTGTCGTTCCTGACGAACTACGAAAAACTGCAATGGAAAAAGGTAATTGCTTACTTTATATGAGAACTGCTTTGTCATATGCATGGACAAAATTAAATTATTCTAGGTATACATTTATTACAATCAATTGAATACATAAAATAGTAATTATAACATAGCATTACTATTAATTGAATCCATACTAATATTATAATAGTGAAAGTGTGTTTGTTTGACCTTCTATCAAGTCGAAACAGAGTGATGGATTGGCGTGATTTTTTGTGTGGACATGAATATCATATGGGTTGATGTGGGTAGTATTATAACGTGTTTTCCCGTGGGAATGAGAAAATCTATCGCGGTAAAAAGTAGTTTATGTTACTCTCTAGCCTTCCGAATGGAACATAAACTACTTTTTACCGCGATAGATTTTCTCATTCCCACGGGAAAACACGTTATAATACTACCCACATCAACTCATCATACCTACGTATATATGTATGTATATATGCAATCTATCTATTCCATACTTACCGCCATATTTTCTTAATACAAATCTAACATACGTCTACGTTGTTCTAGATTTACCGAATCCACCAACTTTGGAAGTAAAGCCTGTTGATGAAGAAATCAGTGCTTCAACGACATCAAATACTTCTCACAATTTAATAGATGCTGTAGCTGAAGTAGCTCATTCACTAGATGAAACATGTGAAACCGTGATTCAATCGAGCCCAAGATCTAAGAGACGACAATTAGAGAAGTTAGAAAGTACAGAGGCTATTGCAATTGTTCAGGGTGCTTCTAGTAGTAGTAGCAGCAGTAATTGGAGTTTAAATAAGTTGTCACCGGGTGATTTAAGAATATTAGAAGACAGATCCAGATCTCAATCTCATACAAGCTCTAGTGGCAGTTCATCCAGCTTAGAGAAACTATCGCCAGGTCGGAGATCTAAGGATCGTTCTCCAAAACAAGGTAGCACTAGTAATTCTACTTGGAGCTTAAATAGATTATCTCCTAATAGACCTGAAGGAAGATCATTAGATGAGAACTTAAGCAAAAGCCATAGAAGCCCAACCAGATTACCATATGATTCATTGTCGATATCGAGCACAGATTCCGAGAAATCAATATCTAAGTCGGAAAGCTTTAACCGGATACAAAACGAACCTCTAGTAACCTGTAAATCTGACATGCTAGCTAAAGAAGATGAATGGATTAACGATCAAAATGATCGTAGTCAGCATTTAACTGAATTTGCTGAAAAGTTGAGTGAAAAGCTATTGCAAGAAATAGACCAATACTCAAAACGAATCAACGAAGAGGACTTTGATCTTCCAAGTAGTAGCAGTAGTGAAAAAAGTATTTCCCTTAGATTAAAAAGAGAAGAAGAGGATAGAAATACACAAAAGATTTTAGACGAACTCTCCGACAGTTTACAGCATCTAGAAGATCCGTATAGTAAATTTAATCTTGATCAAAACACAGGTAAAGTATTAGGCGAAAAAGTTAAATACATAACATCCATTCAAGATACACAAGAGTCTGATATCAATAAACTATTTCCAAAATGTAGCACCAAAACAAAAAGCAAAAAGCGGTCCAAAGATGTAGATCCAATTATCAACAAATACAGAGAACTCAAGAAATCCATTAAAGTCACCAGCGATGAAGACATTTATCTAAATAATTGTGCCAATATTCAGTATAACGTTAAACCACTTACAGACGAAAAACTACCTGACATAGATACTAAAAACCCGGACGATGACAGCGCTATTTCATCAAGCAATGGCAATCCTGAAATTACTATTGAATCTAGTACCTATGACACCAGTCAGTCACTAGAAACTGGTTACTCACTCGAGTCGGAAATAAGCGTTGATTCCCTTTGTACAAGTACTGAAAAACGATCATCTCTCAAAGTTGGCCAATCGACCGACTCTAGTGATTTAGATAAAATGGAAATCAGTCCAGAGTCGGTAACATCGAGATCTAGCACCAGTACAGCGCCTTTGAAATCAGGTTTTTCCATAGAATCGAGTGATACCTCCGCAAGTGATTGGAGTCGTCGTGATAAAACAGGAAGCACGGCGTCATTGGGTTGCGCAAGTTTGGCGTCGTTGCCATCTTGTAGTGAGTGCTCTAAGGAGCGAAAGTTAGAGACTCGTTCTTCGTCCGAAGATACAGCTACCGTTCCAGCGCCACGAGCGATTCCACATGCTCCTCTATTACCTTCGCTTAGTGATGGCTCAGACAGTTTACCGTCAGAGGGAGGCGCTGTGACATACCACAGATACTACCATGTATTCAAGAAAGGCGAACTGGATCAGCTAATTGATAAATACGTGGAGAGCCTCCATGTAGTATCGTCGTATTACGATCAAGCGAGCTGGTGCGTCATTGCCGAAAAAGTTCAAGTGTGGACTATTTAATAGGTTTTCGAACGTTGATCGTTTGAAGTTTAAGTGCGTTATTTTAGGAAAGGTATGAGGTTTTTTCCAGGATAATGTTACTGTCTTATGAATTTTAAAACTCCCTCATATATTTTCTATAGAACGTATCTAGTGCAGTGACATCTAAGTGACCTTCCTTACGAACTCTAGTGAGTGTTGAGGGTATGTTCATGATATCGGATCGATTCTACGCACACGTGTAGAGTCGGCTCTGTACAAAATACCAAAAGCGAAGCTTTTGTTTTAAAATATATTTTAGACATTCAATAAATTAATAGTTATTACCTATATTACTATAAATAAATAATTCCAGGGGTCATGTTTGTATGTTGAAAGAATTATACATTTATGGAAAGATCACTTTTTTGCTGGTAAACCTAACGTAATGACGTTATGATGATGATACAGTAATTTGTAGAATTTCTCAAGTCCTTAACTTATATTTACAATCCTCGAGCAATAGCTGGTTTGACAATATTCTTCAAATTTGATGCCCACTTCGGAGGTTAGTCCGACTCTACGACTATATTCTCTTATTAAGGGCCTTTGGTATTTGATGCGATACTAGAATTCGCATAACAAAACAACTAAGAGCTTTAAATAGAAAATTTAATATAATATATGATATACTTCAGTGGCTCAATATACTATAAGCTATTCATAGCTTATTAATATAATCTACCATTCACGTATACTTACAAATACATATATTGTATCTTAATACGATTTATACCATTGTCCAAAACCACATATTTACTTACGAAATAGTCACTGATTAATTGTACGTGGTAAATTATTCTATGACAATAACAACTTTAAATTAATTTAAGATTTTAAATTAACATATCGCTCCAATTATATTTTGCCTTTTGTCTCGCTTTCTCGGTTTTGGTGTATGGTATAAATCTTTATAATTGTAATTGAAATGTTATTTTCAGTATTAAATTAATCAGAGCTGGCCTCGCTGTTAAACCCAACATGTAAGGGTCTATTGTTTCTATTCACATAATTATTTGGTTCATCTAAAATTCGGACCATTTAGTGAGGTTAGAATTTATACCTTAGCGCATATATTCCTACCCAGCCTAATTATATAATACTTGAGAGTACAAATACTCAATACGTGTACCTTAATGTACTTTAACCCTGTAATTCTTATTTCAATTTCACAATGAACGTGTGCTGCGTCATTGTCGATTACATTTATTTCGTCGACATAAATAAGCGACAAAACGAATTACATATTACTTTTTCAATAACTAATTAGATCGTTAAATTCCTAGATAGGAATCAAGAAACAGCGCAACAGTTTTTTTCTTATTATTAATGTGCTTGCGCGGATATATTCAGATTTACCTAGTATTCATACTGTAAATAATCGCTGTGTAAGTATATAATGCTATTAGATGATAATTATGTTATCAAAAAAGTGAGATTACAATTAATTATAGAATAGTACAATAACACTGTACATTTAATATTGATCTATTTATAAATGAATCTCAGTCGCATAAATTAATGTGCATAGTAGGCGCATTAGGTTTACGCATAGGATACTTACTATAGAGTACCTTTAGGGAGAAGTTATATAAAATGCACAACCAATTAATGTATTATTTTTAACAGCATAATTAATATTTGAATTATCTATTATATTATTTTATTAATTTAGTGAATTGGTGTTGCCTTAACTTTTTTTTTTATGTTATACGTATATAGTATTACTTTATATGTATATTTCTTTTTACATTTTACACGTAGACAATTTGTTTTTAAACAACAGGGTATTTATGTAAAAAAATTTTTTGTGTATTACAATGATATCGAATTCACTAAATTAATTTTTGGAAATAGAATAATATTGTAGATCCATTATCTAAGCTGCAATTGTAATATAACTAATTTCTTACGATTGTTGTGCCTGCTTGAAGTATTTTTTTATCGTTAGACATGACGCATATCATACAGTTTAATATAAAGCAATTATTTATTTAATACGTAGCTATTTATTTTTCGTAATATCGTGGTACTCGCATTTTCACAGGTAAAAAATATTTTTTATAAAGTGCACGTAGTTAAACATAGTTTTATCATACCTACCTTATATATTCTCCAAGTGACCAAATTGAAGCCGATTATATACGTATGAAGGGTTATTATTTTATTGGTTTAAAGTCTATTTTTTAAAACAGAGAGAGCTAATCCAATCTCTCGCATTGTGAGATTAATCAAAACTCGTAAAGGGGTCGTCCATTAATTACGTCATTGTTTTAGCAACTTTTTAACTCCCCTCTGAACCCCCCACCCCCTCGCCCCTGGTGATACGTGGTGAGGTTTTAGACTAACTTCCCCCCCCCCCCCATCCTATCACGTGATCTTTTTTGGCACAAAGTACCTATTTTAAAAATTTTCAGAATATTACTTTAAATACAGATGTAATCTCATGTAATTCTAGAAAATTATGCACCGTGACAAAAATGGCCAGACAACATTAAGCTTGCAGTACCTGAAGTAAATACTAGCTCTCTCGCACATACTTTCTATACCACTGCGGAGAAGGCAGGTCTGGAATAAAGCTTTCAGCACTGTCATCGGGCTCGATTTACTCTGCTACGACGTCATGGCCGTCGATAACCATATTATTCCATACTTCCGTGAGAACTTCTCACGCCTTCTGAATTCAACGAAAGAACGACGAACGACGAAGTTTAACGAAAAAATAAATGTCCGTGGTATTTCAAAACCCCCCCCCCCCTCCATTCTTTCGATTTTTGTTTCGTTCCACGGAACCCCCCTCCCTCTCCCCCTTCCTCTTTTTGAGCTTCACTTGATTAATGGACGATACCTAACCAAAGTCCAAAACAAACAATTAGAATACCCTTTGAAAAATCAATTGTGTTCTTTATGCTCTATCTGATTTTTTAGTATGAAAAATAAACTTTTAAGAGATAATTGTCTTCACTATGCCACCAGGGTGCACTCTTACGTTTACTAAACTTTAAATTTAACTATTTTTAATGTGATGAGTATTTAAATTTAAAAAGTTGAAATTTCAATTTAGTATGTTTTTAAAGTCAATAGTTAAAATTTTATAACATTACTTGAAATTACAATCTATTTTTTTTAATATTTCTGTAAAGACAATTTCTACGCAATTTAAGAGCCCTTTACGGAAACAAATTAGTTTTATTTTCCTTTATATTACTCTTTATCTGGCCTGGTCTGGATAAATAATTTTTAAATATTTGCATATAAATATTGAAATATCCTATTTATAATAAAAATACTTATAAATATTTATTTCCGCCCTAAGGTATGTATATTTAAATTTAAAGCTGCCTAAAACTCTGTTTAAATAAAATGTTTCTATATTTTGTACATATTTGACTATGTAATAAAATAAATATTCGATTGCTAAACATTTCATATTGGCTTGTCTGTGATATATGATTAAAATAATAGCAAACCGCTTTAACTTTCCGAACAATCTTTTTTATTTACGAAGTCTAGTCATAAATCAAGCATATTTAACAAAATGTCAATGTCATATTTTAATTTTACGCGCTTTTTCGTCGCACAGATAATAATATTAAAAAGTTATGCATTTTCCAACCAGTGTTTTCAGGTTAACTGTTTAGGTTTTTACATAGCAACTGTTCGCGATAAAACGAAGTATGTATCGATACATATACAGTAATAAATTGTAAGCTTATAACGTATTGTACCTATATATTATATTAGGTGACAACCTTCACAATAAAATGAAGACTTAAATAATAACTCTGTTTGATTTTCACGCCTTTGAATTACCTGACCACTTGTAATTTTCTATGATAATAATTAATGAATTATAACCCATGTTGTTTATCAAATTTCATATTATAAAATGCAATTTTAACAAGATTGTAATAAATTATTAATTTAACTGGAACTGCTTATTTACGAAGTGCTAGAGTATAAAGGAGTATCTATTATATAAATATTTAATATACTGAAAGGAGATAAAAGGGGAATGAAAAGAAAAATCAAAAATTAATTAGTACAAGTGTATTATGAATTAAATACATTACACAAAATATAAATATACCACATATAATAAATACTAAGAACTTAGTATCGACACGCTTTTACAAGTAATGTTATTGATTTTAAACACTATTATGAGACAGTTATTTAGCTGTAATTTCCAGTATAACACCATGATAACATCACTTTTATCAACCGTCAAATGAAAAATGGCAGATAAAATTTTATAAAAGTACTTTGAGTTTGAAAATGGTTATAATAAAATAATTAAGAATTATTTTCATGAAAATTTAATGTGTTATTCTTAGATGTATTTATTTCAATACAAAAAGATAATACAAAGGCAGCCAGCGCCATCTAGGTTTAATTTACGAGCCACTTAAATAATACTACTACATAATATAACAAGTGCTAGGTACTTAAAACTAAATCCTAAACAAATTGATGTGTGCTAAACGTATTTAGGAAGTTTCACGATGGATCCCAATAACTAATCTATCGGGAGTTTACTTTAATAGCGATTAATATATTTAATTATAATAGCTTTGATGTTAAACTTCATATAAATCACATATACATATAATTCATTATTTCTTGTCCTTACTACATTATATGCATAAAATATATTATATGCGTAAAATATATAAGTTATTAGATAAGTAATTGAGTTTCACTGTAAATTAAAAATTTGGTGCAAGTGGCCCGTATTGTATAGTTCTATAGATAAATGAATATGTGATAATATATATTATATCATCAAACAAAAATCACTCCCAAGTGATGTGATACATCTACAATCAATCAATGTGTTGGTACAACACTACTAACTGCTCCGAGTAGTTTCGTTCGCATTTAAGTTTGAATTATTCAACCCAATAATCTTGTTAATGACTTCAAAACCAGATTCAATTATACTCAACCACTCAATATAAAAAAAACCATTTGTGTACAATAAAAAAAATAAAAAATGTTTCTGTTTGTAATGTCAAAATAACAGCATTTCAATAAATGCATATGAAAGTATATTATGGTACTTATCAGAAAAAAAATTTAACTCTGATTATTTGTTCCGGTTGATCTCCGAAACAGCTGGACCGATTTTTACGCGACTTTTACTGGCAAATAGCTGATGATGAGCAACTTAGGTTACTTTTATTTTAGTAAAAGAATTAGGGTTACGCGCAAAAAATAAAATCCACGAAATTGTGAAAAAACCCCGAACGGAGCGAGGGTCGTCGCTAGTTCATTTTAAAAAATGTATGCACACAAAAAAAATTAACATTTCGCGATATTAGTATTTCTAATAAATTAGACCATACATACTTATACCAGAGGCTATTTTATCAATTTCAATTATTTTTATGTTCGATTTAATAATTTAAAGATGTTTAATTGAGAAATGATTAGAATGATTTTTTTTCTAACATTAGTACCTTCTTCTATTCTATATACAAAACATGAATAAGTTATTAAAAAAAAACAATTTTCGTGTATTCTGCTCATGGTTGGCGCCGGCGGGATAAACCGGGTATTTTAAGGTTTATTGGTCGGGTAATTCAACGACTGTTATCCAGCCCTGCAGATTACACAAAGTACGCGGCCAGCTGAGCCTACTTAGCCTTGGACTGTTTGGCGCGGTATAGGCAGACGGTCATTGACCTAGTTGAACTATAATTTACAGTTCTCAGGTGTACACTTTTCTAACTAATCCCCTCTATATAAGACGGTTCTCCTTACCTCTATCCTCTTTTAAACTACAGATTACACAAAGTACGCAGCCAGCTGAGCCATCTTATCCTTGGGCTGTTTGGCGCGATGTTTGGCCCTGGCGCGTGGCCGGGCGCGGGCGCCCATGGCCCTGGCGGCCACGGCGCGGTGCTTCTCCACCAGCGCACTGAATGCGGGCTCGCAGTAGAGGCAGGCGGTCATTTCGGTGAGCGCGGCGGGCAGGCGCGTGCGCTCGGCGCGGTACTCCACGGTGACGAGCTGAGCGCCGCACGAGCACGCCGCCTCGCACACCGCCACGCGGGACGCGTCCTCGAATATGTTTATTATCACGTCACAGCTGGAAATGTAGACAATATATTATATTATAGTTTTCGAATGAAGTATGTATGAAGTATAAATGTATTTTTTTTATTATGAACCAATAAAGAGAAGAGATAATGGAAATTATGCAACTTCTTATAGGGCATTCGCGTTAAGAAAATAGTGAGTCAACAAGTGCAACGGCAGGTAAAGGTGTATATATAAAGTAGGAGTAAAAATTCAATTTAAATTCAATATTTAAAAAAAATAAGTTTAATGGACAAAAATTAACTTAATAAGATGACAATGACTTTATTTTGATTAATTAATTATCTTAAATTAATGAACATAATTATCTCAAATCAAAATAAAGTCATTAATATTTAAGTCTGCCTTCAACTGGTCATTGTGAAATATGACTTTATAATTTTATGCAATGTAATTGGTCGGTGCGCCACTGCCTTACACTATTATTGTATTGTAACAATAAAGATCAATATAAATCATATTGTCATTTACGTTATCTGTTAAATTTTATGTGTTGTCTATATTTTTTGTCTATGCATTATTAAACAATAAAAGTGAGTTCAGTCTGTTGAAATTGCTTAGCATATATTTAATTTTATACCTGGAACACAATAACTAATTACTATACAAACGTGAATAATCACAAAGCACTTACCGATTGCACGCTAGCTTCCATTTGGGCGCGGAGGGATCGAGCACTAATACGCCGTCGCACTCCACGCAACCCGACACCCCCGTGGAATTCACGCCGTACGGGCAAGTAGGGTGCGTGCACGAGTTACAGCCGAAACCCTTCTTCATATCCCTGAGATCAGAGAGATATGTTTTAGAATCTTATTTAAATGGAACTATCTTTTAGAATTTTGTCCTTAGCTATGTAAATCTTAAAGAACATCTCGACAGAATCAGTTGTGTTTTCTATAGTAGAAACTACACAAAATTTAGGTAAAATTAAGTAAATGTTTTTTACGTAAAATGCACACAGATATACAGACGAACAGACAAAAAAAGTATTGTTTTAGAGTCTATATTCTGTCCAGTTAGTTATTAAAATTTTATTTACGTAACAGATACACATATATTGGAGCATATATTAGAGCAAAAACTATTGCTATCACTTACCAGTGATAGCAATAGTTTTTAGGTACTTTAGTTCTTTGCTTATATAGAACAAATCTAAAACGCGGATGGTTATACTAGTATAGGCACAGCGGGCAGCTCTAGCCCTCACTGCCCGAGGACCAGGAGACCAGTTCACAACCATGTGGCGGACACTACACCTCTTTGCTTATATACGGAAAATTAAAAAAACAAATAGTGTGAAGTACCTAAAAGGTGGATGATTATAGCAGTACGGGCACAGTGGGAAGCTCTTGCCCTTGCTGCCTGAGGACCAGGAGAGCAGCTCGAAGTCGTCCAATGGACACTTCAGCTCGCGGTAAATACGCACTGTGCCGTTCTGAGGCAAGGCGTACGTGTCGTCGCAGTGGGAGCAGTGCAGGCGGGCTGGCTTTGCCTGAAATGTGAAAAAAATATTATCAGCAATAATATTTCTGATATGAGATCCTAGGTTTGAGGTCCGGATCGGGACAAGTTTAGTTGTTGTTGGGAAGTTGGCGATGTTTCACCTCCGTATCTTCGAATGTACGTATCGCGTCGCTCTTACGCCTTAACTCTCAACGCAAGTGTCAAATTATCATTCTATTGAAACTTGACAGTAAGGACCTGTCTGCACTGCGATATTTTACCGTGCGATTTTTATTCTCACGTATTACATTCCATGATAGGAATTACACTTATTGCGCGCTGCGAATAAAATTTCGTGCAATTTTTGTTAGTTCGTTACAGTTCTCCACTGAGACGAACGTCTAACATTAATATAATAACAGAAAAAAAAATACTTGATGGGTACTACGGCAGCGGCGGCGGCGTGACAGACCTATCAAAATATGTCATGAACATGCGAACTTTGCATAAAATCACAAAAAAAAAATCCGCGTGAATTTTTAACCGCCAGTGCGACTACTCCTATAAGATTCAATGTGTTACAGAATTGCGAGAAAAAAAACGTGCGGTAAAATATCGTAGTGCGGACAGGGCGTAACAGAAACATACAGTGCACGTTGTGTCTTAGAGTGCTCGACACATGCGCTCCACTATAATATCTTCTGCCCTGGCTTAGTTTCAGTGAGATTGGCCGTCGTGGCCGAAATCGGTCAAGAAACAAAATGTCTGTAATGAAATAGTAACCAAGACATATATGGGGGACTATTTTTATATATTCTAAACTCCTATTTCGCCAGTTTTTGGGATATGTCCGATTCCGTCCGATTATCAAAACTTCTTATTCTGAAATATTTGATAAAGCACATTCATTTATTTATTACTCCCTTAAAAGCTACTTATATACTGATAATAATTGTAAAGTTTTTTTTCAATTTAGATTTTTTAATCCAGCATTAAATTATTTCAACCTACCACCATTTTGGATTCACACAAGCTTTTATTCTCAACATTAGTGTTATTAGAGTACTATTTTGTAAAAAAAATTTAGTACAATTTAAGAAAAAAAAATTATAACCATAGTAAAAGACATATACCTGAATATATCTCATATAACGCCTACATTTGCCACATCTGGAAAGAGCTTTACCGCTCGTCTTTAAAGATGAGAAGCTAACTTCGAACAACTGGTCCATAGCTTCTATCGATCTCACGAAGTACTGGAACTTTCTTCTGAATATCTCCGTAGTGTGAGCTAAAACCGCATGAAAATCGGCTCGGCCCACGGCTATGAGGTTCAACTGTTCTTCTACTGCAGAGCGCATTGTTGGTAGCACTAGCTCAGGATCAATCTTGAAAATAAAAACTTTTAAATAAGTACATAAGTAAAAAAAACAGTTTTAAATTAATTTTTGGCTTCTGAAATAATATGCAGATTTATTTTAATTTTTGGCTCCTGAAATATTATAATAGATATAGATAATCCTGGATAATGCTATACCTATAACAATCACAGTCAACAGAGAAAGTAAGTTTTTAGACATCTCAAAGGGCACTATAATATAGTCGTTACAGACAGTGCCTACCCACAAAATTACACAATAATTTTAAAAATACAAAAAAAAACGCCTATTAATAATTCTAATTTAATAAAAATTAATAAAATAGATTTTTCATTTGGCGGGACTTTCGTTAAGGCCTACTGTATGGACTTCAAGTGAGTGACAAAAGAACAGATGGTGTCACCTTCTGGTAGCCGTGCACGAGCACGACGCCGAGGCCGGTGGGCACGAGGCGGCGGCCGCTGCCCACGCCCACGTAGTTGCGCTGGCAGATGTTGTTGATGTGCACCGGGATGGACGCGTCCGTGCCGATGCCGTGCTTCTCCATTAACGTGATCACCTAGATATATACATTGCACTAATGAATCTAACAGTTTTTTTTAAACAAGCTCAACAATGTAAAACCTACTTTTCTATACTAATGTTATAAAGAGGTAAAGTTTGTGAGTTTGTGACGTTGTAGGGGGTAATAGAGATTATACATACTAGTATAGGCACAGCGGGCAGCTCTAGCCCTCACTACCCGAGGACCAGGAGACCAGTTCACAACCATGTGGCGGACTCTACACCTCTTTGCTTATATACGGAAAATTTAAAAAACAAATAGTGTGAAGTACCTAAAAGGTGGATGATTATAGCAGTACGGGCACAGTGGGAAGCTCTTGCCCTTGCTGCCTGAGGACCAGGAGAGCAGCTCGAAGTCGTCCAATTGACACTTCAACTCGCGGTAGATGCGCACTGTGCCGTTTTGAGGCAAGGCGTACGATCTACTAAACCGATTTAGATGAAATTTGGTAAGAAGATAGTTTGAGACCCTGGGAAGGACATAGGATATTTTTTATCCCGGAAATCATCCCTTAAGGTTTGTATGGGGAATCAAGCTAGGGACGAACCCGAGCGAAGTGAGGGTGAGTCGCTAGTATTGAAGGATAACAAAAAAATCACTTGTGTCTTGTGCACTATAATATCTCCTGCATAGATGGCTAGTCTCAATGAGATTGGCCGCCGTGGCCGAAATCGGTATTATGTATAGAAAACTCTAATGAAACTTAATTAAATAATTTTAATTTTAATAAAACTAACTCACCTCAGATTCAGTGAGATAATCGGGCGGCGATGTCTGACACTCCAGCAGTCTGTGGTCGTGCGCTTTTAGGACCTCGTCTACGTTCAATACTGGGACAAACTCATCTTTACCGAACGCCTATTGAGCGTAAAATAAAAATATTATTTATATTTTATACACACACACTATATGAAAGTAAAAATTATCTTGAAATATAAAGTCAAAAAAGGTCTTAAGACCTCCAGATAGTTTCTAAGAAATTAATTAAATTTCTAAGAAATCTATTGTTAACCGTAACGCCGCGCCGGCAGTGTCCGCGGTCGTTGAAGGATTATTTGTTTTTAAATTTTATTGAAATAATGCAATTTTCAGGGTTTCCTAAAACATTAAGTTATTGAAGCCAATAACCCAAAAATAGAGCGTTCTTAGAGATATATGGAAGAATAAACCCCTTTCTATCCTAAGAACTAATAAAAAGTTGTGATTTTTTTTGCAGTGTAATTAAAGATTTTACAAATGTAAGACTAATATTTAAATAAATTAAAGATTTTTGGCAACCTAAAAGTGCTATCATCTTTGATCATAATATTGTAAAAAGTAGAAACATAAAAATAAATAACAATTAAGTTAGCGAACATGATATACGTATGTATGGACAGAACTAGTGGTTTCCCGCGACTCCGCCCGCGTAGTGCATTTATATATGTACATATATGGCCATATACCAATTTAGACGAAATTTGTTATGGAGATACTTTGAGACCCTGGGAAAGAAGATAGTTTTCATTAGAGTCGCTAGTATATATATAGCTCGCTAGTAAGTATTATAAAGGCGAAGAAAGATTTTTCGCATTTATAATATTATTTGTAAATACAGATAACAAAAATAAACCGTAAATCATACCTGCCAATGCATAATCTCAGTGTACCCAGCATCCACTAGAGTGTTGCCAGTGTAGTAGAAGGTCTCGGAGCCCACCGCGAAGGTGATCGTAGTGGACAGGTACTTACAGTCACGTGACAGTGTTGCTATGAAATGGCGCGTGACGTAGTCGTAGATACGCCACATGTCGCCTTCTAGCTCGGATTCCGCTGGTAATAGGGAATGCGTGTGATTTAAATAAGGGTGAAATATTTTTTTTCTAATCTTTATTGCTTTTGAATTAAGCCTATATCAATATTTTTTAATGTAATTTCATACTGTGACGTCATACCAAGCACGCGAAACGGCGATCGCTTAAACTTTAAAGCATCCGTATCAGTATATTTTAATCTATTTTTAGACTAAATTTTAGTTTTTTGGAGTTGGATATTTCATTGAATTTGATTTCCTTGTTAATGGCTTCAAAGCGTGCCAGATGAGCACAGAAGTAGTTCGGTCAGTAAAATAAAATCATTAAACTATATTAAGTCATAATGTGTAAAAAAACGAGTAAATCTTTTTAAATATTTGTACCTATTAAAGAAGTATTAAATAAAAAAGATATAAAACTACTAGTAACTTTTTCAGCAAGAGGGGTACACAAATTATAAAATAACTTAAAAGTATCCCACTTTCTATTTTTAAATTTATAATTTGGGACCACCATCATATTTTAACTTATTTATTTAAAAAAATATATATATTAAAAAAAACGGAGAAGTTTTATGTTTTTTTTTTATGAATGAAAATCAAAATTTAACGAAAGCAAAAAAAATAATTCTAATATTATTTAAGATATTAAAAAAAACAGGCATCATTACTTAACAGTTCTAAGTTTACAACATGTATAACTTACAAGCAAGCTTCATCGGTGTGATAGGAGGATGATCGCCTGCATCATGTCCTTTCTTGGGTTTGTTTATGCCGTTAGCAACAATTGCTCTTACTTCTGCACCCCACTTGTTTGAGCTCTGCAGTTGACGGAGAGTGCCCCTGTGTATAGGATTTTAATGAATACTAGTGACTTTGTACGTTCCAGTACACGAATTTTGTTCACAATTTCACAGGTTCAATTTTTTGCACAGAAATTTGGTTTCTTTTCTAAAATAAAAGTAGCCTGCCTAAGGTACAAAAAAAGGTGAAAATCTCGTCAAAATCAATACAGCGGTTTTGGAGATTAGCCAGAACAAACAGACAGATTGTTTTTTTCCTAAAAATACCATTTATATACTTTCATATGTATTTAGTAAATAAGCTGTTATTTTGACATTACAAACAGATACATCAATTTCGTTTATCAGTTTAGATTAGACTAATGTTTATTTGATCCTACTCATATAGTGGGTAACCTATATGTTGAGCCAAAATATTATATTCATTTATTATTTTATTACTTCATTTATTATTTTATATGAATTTACTTATTTTATATACTTTGAGCAAAAGCCAGTATTTTATATACTTTGAGTTTCTGTTTATCTATAAGTTGGTAGTTAGAAATTGGAAGCAATAACTTGCTTCGAAAGTAAAACTTTAGTAGCTCCGATAACAGCAATCAATCATTATATAATCATAAATTAAATCCAATGAAAAAATTAGGTAGTGTGTATTGCATAGAGAGAAATAAACTTTACTAGGTAAATGACTCCCGAAGTTGCATGAAAGGAAAGTAGCTTCGGGCTTGATTGTAGTAAACTTGAAATTTGTGAAAAATCAATAACAAGTTTCAGCACTACATTATTTGTTGTTTGGACATAAGAATTTAAGCTATGAAAATTTTTTGTATGTATTCCTTACAGGAGATCATAGTTTTCTGGGTAGCTTGTGGTTTCAGTTCTGGGATATGAAATATATCCCTGTGTATAGAGACGTTCTGCCACCTGAAACAATAAAATTTAATATACTTTAGTGCCATATTAACTTGCTAAACTACTAAATGTTAGATACCTACAAATTAAATAAATAAATATATAACTTGGGACATTAACACACAGCATCATCTAGTTCCATGGTAAGCTAAGAGCCTTGTGTTATGGATACCAGATAGTTGATACACTATACATATATATAGCTTAAAATACATACTACATATTATAAATATAAACTCCCATGATTGGAGTACAAACATTCATGCTCATCACACAAATGAATGCTCCGAGCGAGACTCGAACCAGCGACCGCTGGCACAGCAAGTCGGGTCACTACAAACTGACTGACTGTGTCGTCGTATTACATAAAACAAAATAAAATGCACTGTGAGGCGGCCCGCTTCGGTGGACAGGGTGCCATATCGATCGCTCCTAGTACTATCTAGTAGCAGAGTGGACTGTTGGAACAACATGGTTGTTGTGGTCTGCTTCAACAGACCTGCCGTCGGGGCGTCGTGGTCGAGTGCGTAAGCGATCCAGCTATGCCGTCGTATTAAGACGGAGGACGTTCTGTTGGATTTTAATGGGTAGTAATGGCTTTTCTATCCAGTGAATCCCACATAACCACCTGTATGTATGCAGGTGGTATGAGTAAATAAATGCATTTCTCCAATGTTAAAAAAAGTACAAACTATTTTATAATTATCTTACTATCACAAGCATAAGATTCTACTAAGAGAAAAAACCTCATAGTACCCTGGCACGTAACGGCCGGCAAGGCCCTCTGGATAGGTTTTCCAGGTAAAAATAAATATAAGCTATTATTTCTTTGAATTTCCTTCCAATCAGTTAAGTTGTTACAACATTATACCTACTTGCATAGCATGATGAGGCCCCATCCCAAGCCCTGCGCTGGCAACTCTCATCAGTTCCACAGTGTTGAGAGCAGCTGGTCGAGGTTTTATTTTCTCTTTGGCTTGAACGTTAACAACCCTGTTAAAATAACATCACTTATAACATAGATTTAATACCAAAAAAAATGTGTGTGATTACTTATGTTTGAACGTAAGAAGTTATTCTTCTTTGACATAACAGAATAAAAATAGCTAAAGATTTCATCCCATATGTCACAACTCTCTTTGTAAAAGGAATGCAGCTAAGTGTAAAATTTTTTACAAACATGCCAAAAGAAGTATTACTGCAAAAAATATAATACTTTAAGTAATTTAATTAGTTTTAAGTAAATTTAGTGTATATATTTTTATAATGAAATTTTAAGGAACTGTATCCATGTAACTTTGAAAACTTTAAATAAAATATTTTAATCTGGATAAAAATTTATTATATGTATTATATATCATCAAAGTCAAAATAACAGATTTTCTAATACAAATATCCACAACTATTTCAGTAGTAGGCAATATTTTATTCACATTAACTTACGTTGCTTCTTTAATCTCCTTAATATTAGCCAAAAACATATTAGCAATATCTTTTTCAAAGCTCCTCACTCTTTTCCATTCTAAAGGTAGTTCTCGACCTTCAGAAGTAGAAGCTGTTACCCTCAATACCCAATATGTCTCTGGTTTAAAGGTTTGGATCTCATCATGTCGTTGAACACAGAAACCTAAGGTTGGTGTTTGACATGGCCCATAAGATATAAGTGAAGCATCAAGATCACCATATCTACCTAAAATTTAATGAGACAATATAACTGAATTAATAAAACATCAAATTCTAATGAAAAAGTTAAGTTGTACAGTATATCTCAGATATAATAATAAAGATAGATATTTATCATTTTCTAAAATGTAAAAATCGTTTTAGTATCTATTATTTCTACAATTTCATTTTAGTATTAATATTACTAACTATAAATATTAACTGTATATACTTCATTCATATATACCTTGAAAATATTTTGTTTGAAATCTTGTAAATGCACAACCAATGCGCAAATCAAGTTCCTGTCTAGCATCCACACTCCGAGATTCACTTTCATTTGGTCGTACAAGATTCAACATAGCAGCCTTAATATCCTTTTCAGTGATAGCCGAAAATCGTGCTCTATATGTTACTAAAGGTGAATAAACATCTCCTTTCATATATGGCTGAACACATGACATTACCTAAAACATATAGCAAATATGGCAATTTTAAACTTCTCTTCTTAAAAGAACAAAACTATAAAATAAATAATTATAAGGTTGCAATTGATCATAATAAATTAACATTTGTTTACTTACTCTTACTATTAATATTTAATGTGAAATATTATGACAGAGAACTTTGTTTACCTCAAAACATATATTTTCACCTTCTTTGTCACAATCAAGCCATAGAATTAAAAAATCACATCCCTTGGCCTCCTGCGCTAAGAAGGCTGGTATTCTTAATCGTGGCATTGCTTCCTTTTTCTCTGTTGGGCAGCTGAAGAGCTCTATAGGGTCCACTTTGTCCCAATTGTTGTATTTACCAGTGAAATCTAAGCTCATAACATGTCCACATACGGACGTCATTTTAAATCGAACCGGCTCATTCTTAAAGGTACCGTTCCATTCGTGTATTGAACATGCGGAGTTAGGACCTATAAATGGAATTGAATATGTTAAAAATCCTTAGAGAAGTGTTGGAATTCATTTATAATCATTGTTTTTATCAAACCTTTAGTTGTAGTGGATTTGCCGTTACTTAGGATAGTTGCAAGATTCTGAGCTAAAGATGGCTTTTCAGCCACCATTAATGCCGTCTTCATCGTGGAGTGGTTATCGCACGATATGTATCAGGAAAATATTACAAAATCAGCACATCAATATGTAATTAGTTTTATGATTTCATTTTTATTACCAGCCGCACACATATCGCATTACTATTTTGACACATTAAAAATACTGGGTAACTGGGTTGCAGAATGCAAAGCTGAAGGCATATAAATTAAAATTAAATGTGTCAACCAAATATAAAGTACATAAAATAAAATTAATATTAAATATTTACAATAATAATAATAATAATTCTTTACAATAACTTTTACCATTATTGTTCTTACGAGAACTTCTTATTTATTTTATTAAACATAAAAAATATAGTGTATTTTATTTAATGTTTATTATCTGTACTTATTCGTATTACTAGGGATGTATCTTTTTATGAGAATCAAAAAAATCAATTCAATATTCGAATGATAGCTATGTTCAGATCGACTTATTAATGTTCATTATTTTTTGAAACTTTACTATTCTAATATAAATTAAAACACTTTTATGCCAGCGAATGGTTTTAATAACATAATAATATTTGAAATTCTATAAACATCTTTGAAATATAAATTGACATATTTAGCATTTACATTTCAAGTCTCAATATTTATTACATCAACAACATTTATAACTTCAGACAAAATTTATAACCTTAAATTTTTTTATAGATAATAAATAGACAACTTACATAGATATCATGAGTTTTATAGATAATAGATAGACTAATTACATAGGTATCATGAGTTTTATATCCCTTACTTGAGAAATGATTCTCCATACCAAATTCCACCCGCTTTTTCACCCCCTTAAGGGATGATTTCCGGAATAAAAACAGGGTTTCAAACTATCTCCATACCAATTTTCTTCTAAATCGGTTCAGCAGATGTGTAAAGATAACAGATAGGCAGAGACAGTTACTTTCACATATAAATTATTCTCATTGATATAGATTAATATGAAATCAGTGATAAACTAATTTTATTATAAATATACTGTGATAAAATAATAATAATTTATACTGTACTAGCGGCTCACCCTCGCTTCGCTCGGGTTCGCATCTGGAACATCAAAAACAAATCTATCCCTCAGGAACCTTATATTTTTCCGGGATAAAAAGTAGCCTATGTGTTACTCCAGACTATAATTTATCTCTGTGCCAAATTTCATCCAGATCCGTTCAGCCATTCCGGTGAGAAAGAGTAACAAACATCCATACATACTCACAAACTTTTACCTCTATAATATTTACTAGCAGAAGCCGCGGTTTCGCTCACGCTAAAACTAGAAAAATACTCTAAAATGGTAGGTTTCATACAATCTTTTATCCGCTATTTTATTCCTCCTATAGGATGAACTAGCATTGCCCGCGGTTCTGCCCGCGTTCAGATGACCAAAAACAAAATTCTTAGGTTTTACATATTAGTATACTCTTACATTGCAGTTTATATATTTTTTCTCAGAAAAGAGACATTTTCCCGCTGTAAAAAGTATCCTATATATTGACCCGGATAACTAGCTATCACCATACCAAATTTCATCAAAATCCCTCCAGTGGTTTTTTTATGATGCGATAACAGACAGACAGGCAGACAGTCAAAAATTTGGCCTCTGTATCGATAATAATGTCTATTTCAATAAGATTTTACAAAAAATATCTAATGTACAGATTCGGCTCAGTTACAATTTTATAATATGTATAGATTTCGTAAAATGCCAAAACATGCATTTATTTAATTGTATTGAAGAGCATTTATACCAAATTTCAGGAAATTCTGATCATACATATTTTTTGGATTGTATTATAACGTGTTTTCTCATGGGAAAGAGATAATCTTCTATGGTAAAAAGTAGCATATGTCACTCTCCAGCCCTTCTACAGCTATCTCCACACAAAACATCACGACAATCCGTCAAGTCGTTTCGACGTGAACGAAAGACAAACAAACAAACACACTTTCATATTTATAATATTAGTATGGATACAGATTAGAGAGATTTAATCGATTTTTTCTAAGTCTAGTTTCAAAATTGTCATCCCTATCCTATTTTATAATTTATTTATTGGCTAAAGAGAGGTGGGCTCAGTGCTTTACGTTTGCAATTTTCCAGTTCTATTGCTTTGATAATATATTAGAAAGACCTTGAATGATGTGCGTTAACTTAATGGATAACATCTAGTTTTTTCTTCATCTTGTCAGTAATATATTCGTGATAAACAACGAAGAAAACATCTGTGTACAAAAAATGGTATGCGATAGTGTTTAATTGTTTATTTATGTAATTACTATAGTAGCTGATATGTGAAAGTTATGTTTTCATTACAGAGCCAGGCTCGTATTGATATTATGTGTCCCTCGGCACCCTTGCGGGTGATACTGCCCGCGTCAATGGATAATAATTTGCCACCACCGTTTATTGATATGAGTAAGTCTATTACAACACAAATAATCTAATATTCACCTAGGACGTAGGTCACACAAGTATGGATATCATATATAGTCATACATTTGTCCCTTTTAAGTGTTTAGATTTAGTACTGATTAAATAAAAATAACTCAGTAATAGTAAAGTAGTGTATGAAAATATTTTTTGTATATATACAGCAGACAATATTCATTCATCTATATAAAAAATCAGGATAGATATAGCCAAAGGTGTAATGTATCTTACTAAAATTATATTTAATGTTAAAAATAATTATAACACATATTATACACAACAACATAGAAAACCTGTGATAAACAGAAACAAATCTATCCCACAGGGACCATATTTTTTTCTTAAAAAGTAATCTATGAGTAGCACATATAGACTATAATTTATTTATTTATTCATTTGCCAAATACAAAAAAAAATCATTTATACAAAACTAAGACACTCATACTAAGTGAACTTATAATCTGACTCCGTCCCAAATTTCATACAGATCTAATCTGGTGTGATTGAGTAACAAACATTCATCCATCCAAACTTTCGCAATTATAATATTAATGGGATGAAAGCAAAAGAGGTGAAAAAATAAGAAATTATGGTATTATTAAACTTTCTAATATAGTAACAATTCTACTAATATTATAAATGTAGAAGTTTGTGAAGATGAATGGATATTTTTTTACTATTTCATGCAAAAATTATTTAATGGATTTTTGATAAAACTTTACAGTAGGTAATATAGATACATTAGAGTAACACATAGGCTATAATTTTAAAGACTTAGTTATACATAATTGAACTAGGTGTGAGCCACAGGAAAATGCTAGTTATTAGATATATTAAAAACTATTGATATCATTTTCAATAGACTCTGCCTCTTGTTATAAAATTATAAATGTATTAGTATTATATTAGTAACACTGCATTGAAGGCTGCATTTAATCACTTCCTGAAGTGAATGTTTTATTGACCATATTATCATAGATGTTTGTCTTAGTATGGTTAAAAATATTTCCAGTGGTGTTGGGAAAATCTGAAGTATTGTAAACAAAAAATATATTTTAAGTTTCATGTGTATGATGACCATTTCCACCACAGCGGCCAATCAAAGGAGAGTCATCAATGTAGTCAGCACAAGAGACATTATAGTGCACACTAAGACTCAAACCTAGAAGCTCCCGATCAGCAGTCATACATGCTAGCCACTAGATCAATGAGTCACATATAAAACAACATTCTAACGCTTTGTGTTTTAATAAATTATTTTCATTTTTGTGTCTATTTTATATACTACTATCGACTCACCCTCGCTCCGCTCGGGTTCGTCCCTGATGTGGGCCACCCTTATCACTTAGGGGTATGGAAAATAGATAGTAGCCGATTCTCAGACCTACTGAATATGCATATAAAATTTGGTAAAAATCGGTAAAGCCGTTTCGGAGGAGTACGTTAACTAACATTGTGACATGGAAATTTTATATATTAGATTATATGTTCTAAATGAAAAAAGGCTTAGTCCTACACAATTTTTTTGCTAAATTTAGATAACCATATACAAAAACTTGTTATTGATATTGTGAGAATAACAAAAAATTTAGCAAAATGATAACATTGTTATTGAAACATTTTTTTTCCTATTAAATACGCTTCGGTAAATACATTCATAATAGCCATGCTTAATATGCAATATATATTAAAGTATGTTTATTGAGTTTATGTATATTTTTTTCAGACAATATGGACATACCCCCACCACAAGCTGACTTTTCAGCACCACCCCCATATGACGTAGCTGCTAATTCTAAGCTACCTACTTATGAGGAGGTGCAGCGAGAGAAACAAATGGAGGGGGAGGGACACCCACCTGTAAGATTATATAAATAACTATTCTAATTACATCTGTGCCCAAATGTAACACCTATAAGCCACAGAACAAAAAATGTAACATAATATTTATTTCTTTTACAGTGATAAAATGTGTAGAATACAAATACTTTTGCCAGTAAAGACACAACAAAGACTATACTCAACTAATGTCTCAGTTATCTAGAACACTTTTAATGTTTTGTTAAAAAATTAATAAAATACATCTCGACTCTTAACAATTTCGCCATAATGATCTCATATGTGATACTAAGCTGAAACAATCATTAAACATTTTTTCTGTGTGTTGTCAGTACTCACTTATATCCAAAAAAAATGCTTACACTTGTGCTATGATTCAATGAAAACGATGCCATAGCCCACAACACAAAACATAAAATAAGAGCACAAACCATTTTAATGTAAAAAAACACCTGTACATTTTGCAAAATATGAGAAATAATTTCTTTTACTTCTTCGATATTTATTAATAGTTATATTTCTAACAGATGGTGCCAACCCATCCAGCAATAGCCGCGTTCGTGACTGTAGAACCGACTGAGGGATCTGCAGAGCAGTTAGACCCTGAGAACAGCTTGCTCGGGACCGACATTATGTTTTTAACATCATTTTTCGGTAAATTACTACATTTTATATATTTATAGTAATATTGTAGATATTTAATGTTCTTTTTTTATTAGTTTTATATGTCTATAAAATTTTGAGCTTAGAAATAAAAAAACACATTACATGTTCTATACTAAAGACACTAAAAGATTAAAAATGTATACTACACATAATACATATATTTGGCCTATTTTATATATTGTTGCAACCACTTTTTTTTTTACAAGTTTTTTATATATTAATATTATATTATATATTAATTGCCAGTGTATTTTGCCCACATTTCTATTTAATCCACAAAATCTTCACTACTACTTACACATATTTAAACACAGAGTGCTATATGCATGTATACAATAAAAAATTGATTGAAATTCATCCATAACAAACGTTACAAATATCAGCCAAAAAAAATATTTGATAAATATTTAATGTAAAATTATTCGTAGATAACAAAACTAAAACGGGGTCAGTTTTAGTTTTGTTATCTATGAATAGGTGTCAAGAAATGTATCTCTCTTTCGCCGTTATTTTTTAGTTTGTGTTTACGGACGCGTTTTCGTATCAATTAACTCTAGTACATTCGCTCTTTTTGAACTGCTAAATCTTTATATATATATATATATATATATATATATATATATATATATATATATATATATATATTTATATATATATATATATAATTCTTATGTGAGTGTGTATGTCACTGAACTTCTCTCAAACGACTGGACCGATTTTGATAAAAATTTTTGTGTGTGTTCAAGGGGATCTGAGAATGGTTTAGATTCACAATTTGAATAATAATTTTCATCAAAATGGTCCAGAATGTTTTAGCTTATTAAAAAAAGTTTGAAATTTTCAAATTAAAGACGTGTAGACAGGACAACGTCTGTCGGGTCAGCTAGTATATATGTATAATAGGTACGTTTTAACGGTTAGTATGGAATAGTTAGAATATATATAAATACATAGGTATATAAGTAAGTACTTTAAAAAAACTAGAAATCTTCCCCCTTTTTACCATGATTGGTTATAAACGCCGAAATATTATTTATTTCTTTCCAAAAGTATAGTATATAATGATTTTTTTAATCCTTAAGAAATGATTTGTTTCACCCCTTTTAAGTTTCATTTTTGCGACAAAAAAATTCCTGTCTTTTTCCAAACTTCATCAAAATTGGTTTACCTGTTTAGGCATGAAAACGTAACAGACAGACAGAGTTACTTTCGCATTTATAATATTAGTACGGACTGCATTGGGCAATATAGAAAACAATCTTTATTAGATACTAAGTGACCTTAACTGACCTTAGCGTTATTTAAGGGAACTGGGAAGCTTTCGGAAGAACGATTTTTGTTACGGTGGTCTAGTAGCTGGCATGTACGGCTGCAGATTTGAATATCTTGGGTTCGATTCCCGGGTGTGGTCAAGTTTTGTTGAATTTTCCTGCTAAAAATTCGCAGTAACGGCCCGGAGTTGGAAGCTGGCGGTGTTTCACCCTTGTTCGTCAGAGAGCACGCTTAGCGCCTCTTAGTTAACCGTGCGTTTGACCGGTCGTGTCGAAGTATCTTCCTGACGGATTATAAGAGTGACAGGAATGGGTGAAATTGTATTTGCGCTCATATTTGTCCATTATAATATGGCAGATAAACAGATGGCTAATATCATGGACATTGGTCGCCGTGATCGAAATCGGTCAGCAGGGCATTATTATTATTTGGCTATTGGCTAGTTTTAATATTGAATAAAAACAATCATTGCAATGCAATATTAGTACAGTAAAAATATTTGTATTATATATTGTATAGCCTTAAATTGTCAAGATTAACCATAATTTTCGTCTTTTCTGACATTTCTTCTCCACTACCACTACTTGCTTCCAATTCAACGTATTTTAATTTTATTGATTATGACCTATAATTGGCTAAAATCATTTCTATGCTGTTTAAGTGACACTGAAATAAAATGAGGCGCCAAATGTTTAATTTAAAGAGATTAGTTGTAAAGCGATATAAAGTTAATATTAGCAAAGAATTAAAAACAAACAGTAGAGATAAACTGTGGCTAATCTTTGATAATAATAAATTGTTCAAATCTAAAAAAAAATTCTTCCTATCAAGTAATTATCGCATTATACCTATGTATCTATGAAAAAAATAAATAAATTTGATAGCTATTTTAGATTAAATATGTTATTTATAATATGTAGTAAGTACTATCAAGCGACATTTTTTCTATAGTTTAGTATACAAATTACAATTTACAGTAGGTATAAATCTATTCTATACATATAATTCTGAGTCGAATCTGTACATTAAATAGTTTTTGGAAAATCTTATTGAAATAATAATTATTATTGATACAGAGGCTGAATCTATACTTTTTAGATTTTTTTGTCTATCAGATTTTGATGAAATTTGGTACGATGATAGCTGGTTATCCGGGTCAACATATAGGATACTTTTTACTGCGAGAAAATATCTCATCTCTGAGAAATCTTTACTAAACGTTAAAATGTGAATGTAGTTAATATTTATATCTTTGCATTTAAAATCAAAGCAATTATAGTGTCTATTTTACGTTCTACTAAAAATATAGTTTAAGACAATTTTGACAAGTATTAATATTCCAGTCACACAGACGTAATACATACGCAGTCTGTCTAGTTAATGATTTGGAATAACGCCAATACAATGTGAAGAAAATATTCTAACTTTACACGAGTACCTAATCGTTTGTCAAGGCTCTACCTGTTACTTTTATGGATTACTGGTTCTATCTTCCGTTCGTGTTTTATACACATACATATCTAATATCCATACTATGCATAATATTCTAAATGTGAAATTAATATAAATAAAAAAATGTTTGTTTGTTTGTCCTTCTTTCACGTCGAAAAGATTTTTTGTTTGGAGATAGTTGGAGTGCTGGAGAGTAACATAGGGCACTTTGTACCGCGGGAGATTATCTCAACCCATAAAAGACACGACAAAACGTACGTCTAGTAGATATATTTTATGGGCTTGCAAATGCATATTTGTATTAAAATTTGTGATAATTACCATAATGAAGTGTTGGTTAAGCCGTTTTAGCATGCTACGTACGTACGTACAGTGCAGGGGCGGATCTACATAGCGGCTTTTGGGCTGCAGTCTAGGTCCCCTAATATATAACCGGACCTCCATAGAAAACAATGGATAATATTGTTAATTTATAAAAAAAAAACAATTAAGGACCTGAAGAAGTTTTTTGGAGTTGGATAATTTTTTTACAATCATATAAAGAAATCATGCATATTCCCTATTAATGAATATTTGAATTATAATTATATAATATTATAATTATTTTAGATAATTTTCATTTCAGTAACTTATATTTATTGTTAAGCACCTAGGAACACACAAGCGAAGCTAGGCTAACAAAACATGTATTTCCATTGACACAGTGGCATTCCTATTCAACTGGATCGGGTTTCTCCTACTCATGTGCTTCTGCCACACGGTCGCGAGCCGCTACGGCGCGCTCGCCGGCTTCGGCCTGTCCCTCGCCAAGTGGACGCTCATAGTGAAACACTCGACGGAACTAGCGTCCCACGAGAACTCTTGGCTGTGGTGGCTTATTATGGCTTTTGGTGAGCTTTTTTTTTGGTTTTAGAGTTTTATTGATTGTTGTTAAGGTACTGTGGGTATATTTTGTGGGTATATTTTTCGTTTGTTCGCCTGTATGTATGTCAGCCGTAGTCTATTTTAACAAACTTGATAATACTTTTTATTTAATGAGTAGGTTTCTCAGAGGTAGACCCAGGATAAATTTAAAAAAAAACTGATTCGTCTATTAGATACGTATGAGTCCATAAGTAGATAAATTATCGTTACGTATATTCCGTAGGCTAATCCGCTGACGAAAATATAATTTTGGGGGTTAATGTTTAATCAGGCAAACTAAAAAATAAAAGAAAACTTTATGAGATGAATATTTTATAAAATATAAAAAATAGCTGAAGTGTGATCACCTCTGTAAATAAATCTTACAATAAATGAAACAGTAAATGATCTATTTAATTTACAATCCACAGGTATCCTAATCTGCGTGCGCGCCGTGATCCAGTACTTGAACATCAAGCGCGGGTGGCGTCTGCTGTCCGGCACGGCACAAGAGAGACTGCTGTTTTTCTATTGAAAGGGATGCTTGTATACGGGATATATATCCATCTCTTTCTCTCAATATAATTGATGTTTAAGCGTTCTCTTCTATTCTCCCGTTGATAAATATGGATGTACATCCGTCTCTTTCTCTTAATTCAATTGGGCTTTAAGTGTTCTCTTCTATTTCCCAATAGAGTATATGCGTGTTATTATTTGTTTTTTTTTATACATCGTTATAAAATTGTAAAAAACGTCCACCTCTAAAAAAACTAAAATTTAGTATAAAAAACTAATTTAAAAATATCATACAGATACGGATACTTTAAACGCCCACCATTTTGTCGCGCTTGACGTGACGTCATAATCTATGACAATATTGCAATTAAAGAATGAACAGTCTAGATTGTTAGTACCAATCGGAAACACCAAACAACAGCTTTCTGTTACTATAAACTTTGATATTTGCACATGCGATATTTGCACTTTTCAATAATTATTTTCTTAATCAAAAAGAAATAACATTAAAAAATATATTGATATAAGCTTAATTCAGAAGCAATAAAGATTATAAAAAAAAATATTTCATTCCTTTATTTAAATCACACGCATATTCCCTATTGAAAGAGATGGATGTACATCCGTTTCTTTCTCTCACTTCAATTGATGTTCGAATGTACGTAATGTATGTACTAAATGCTTGTAGATTTCCAAGTGACACTTTCTGTAAAGTATATTAGGAGTTTTTATGATAATAATTATTAAAAGTGGAATTTCTAAACTTGCACAAAACAATTCCTTATTACGAAACTTTTTGCTCACAATCGTGGGATGGACGTAATTAAAGACATTGTATGTTATTTTTGTTAATTTTATATTTTAAAGTTATGAAAATTGGACATTTATGTGAGGGATGAAATTGATTTATTTTAGGGTAACGACAATCATAATGGATAAAAAGGTAATAACGTCAGCTATTGTATATATTCTATCTAATCATTACCAACCGACTCAATAGAGAGATTTGTTCAGAACTATATTTTTGAACAAACATACGATATAATGATATTATCAGTAATATATCATAATTTTATTTTTATTGTATATTGGAGATTTGTATATGATATTTTAATTTAAACTATATCTTTTAATAATAAAATTTAAAAATGTTATGTCACAATAATACTTAATGTATTAGAAGTATAAATCATTTTCTTCTTCATAGAATAAAGGTGCATCTACAGATAAAAAATGAGTGCGTGTAGCCTTTACGCGCGGTTGAAGTAAAACTTCTTTGGCGCTGTGGCAGATATGAGATACCGCTATGAAATTAAAAGAAATTAAAATATAAATATAATATTTTTTATAGAATCATTAGTAATAAATATTCATTTTTATAAATAACTAGCGACTCGCCCTAGCTTCGCCCGGGTTCGTCCCGAGGTTGATTCCCCATCAAACTTTCATCCCCATTTTCATCCCCCTAGGGAATGATTTTCGGGATAAAACTATCCTATGTCCTTCCCAGTATCTCAAACTATCTTCCTACATCTAAATCGGTCCAGTAGTTTCGGAGCTTATTCGGAACAAACAAACAAAAAATCTTTCCTTCTTATAATATCAGGATAGATAAATATTATTATTGTTTTTTTATTATTCATAATAAATTTAACTCTCACTTCCGCAACACTCATTTTTCCAATGTATTGACTTAACCCTCAGTCACGTCTAAAGAAGTTTTACTTCAAAAATATCATAAAAGACAGAGGTGTGATCTGTTAGTGTTAGGATGTCTCTCGATTTAGGTTTACTTAAATTTTTAAAGAGTTCCTTTTCAAAATTAATTATCGAGTAGATACATTGATCAAGAAAGCACTAGATGCCATGCAAAAGTTCTCCTAAAACTATCACCAATTTCTTTAGTTAACTATTCCAGTTGAATTAAATATACAACAATGTAAATTGAACCTTAAATGTAATGCTTAAAGGTGTTTTCACAAAAAAAATATTGAAAAGCGCGCTCAAATGTTCAAATCAGCCCTCATTCGTTGAGGACATTTTTTGTCGCTGATTGTGTATCTAGTACTTTTTTGATCGATGAGTAGATACGATTTTGTTCTACGAGAAGCTAAAGGTGCTTTTTATTATATTTTTGAAATATCAAACATGTTATTATACCCTACTGTAATCCAAATATCAAATATTTGTTTTATCTAAAAAAATTACAATTGAATGAAATCCCATTTAGTTATTTTGTTGTTACTTAATAATAACTAAATAACTAAATGTAACAATTATATGTATTTAAATTAATAAATGATACAAACAATACCTCTGACATATTTTATATGATGTTAATTCAGACTAAAGAAATATATATAGACAGAATCCACCAAAATAAATGTCAAAGCCAAAAATAGAAACGTGATTTGTTGTATATGCTTCTATATCGATTTTAACATACATATTTTTGACGTGAAAAGTCTTTAAAATCACACGGAAACATACGGATACCATCGGAAAAGTGGACTGTATCGAAGTAGGTTGCATTAGGTTGCCATAGTAACCGTTGTTATTGTCTGAAAAATAATATTATTCATATGATATTCTTTCCGTTGCTATTTTCAAAGATATTTTTACTAATTTGTTTTCAAATATACAAAATATTTATAAGAAACAAAAACACTATAAGCGACTCGCTGAAATAGACGTTTCACGTTAAACCAATGACGACTTGCTCTGACACAGCCTCACCCGATTTTTTATTTTCTTCAAAGCATAAGGGAAATTTTATATATTATGTATTAGTTAACTTAATTTACATTTTTTAAGAATAAAATACGAATTATAAAAATAATACTGTATTCTTTTGTATTTTTTAAGCATTGTCATTTGTTTATTATTTAAAAAAAATATTTAGTCTATATTATTTCTTAGTCTGAGGGCGTTGAAAGTAGAATATCAAGAGTATTTTACTTGACATTAACCCATACGGCTTTGGTGTACGACTTTCGTATATGCGTTCTTTCTGTAAATACTTTTATTAAGTCAAAACACCCATACATTATGAGCTATTTTGTGAGTTTTTTTTTTATAAATTGACTATAGTAGTGTTAAGTATACTAATTAATTATAAATATCGGAATAACAACTCTTGTGGTTAAAATATGACACCCATTTTTTTAATTATAATTATTTTATTATACAAAAGAGTTTGAAACTCTATTTAAAAATTTGTCAAAAGCAATTATGACCACAAAAAACATATGTATATCATCATCAAAAAAGTACTAGCTAGATGCACAATCCCATGTAAAAGTTATCTTAAAATTATCACCAATTGTGTTTAGGTAAAATATACAACAATGTAAATTGAACCTTAAATGCAATGCTTAATGTTGTTTTCACAAAAAACAAATTAAAAGCGCACTCAAATGTTCAAATGAGCGCTCATTCGATGAGGACATTTTTTGTCGCTGATTGTGTATCAAGTACTTTTTGATCGATTGTTGTTGCCTATTATGAAAACGAATGTGGGGTGTGGCGAGCACCCCGCTGGGACCCCCTTCAAACAGGGGTACCATGGTTTTGGTTGCATTGGCATAGCTACGCCACTGAATTTTAGTGTCTATCACATCAAAATTAGACAAGTAGTTGGTGTTATCAAAAATGTAAATTTAGAATTAAGAAAACATTGTGCGCTTTCACCAGTTATAGCACCAAATCTGTCTAGATTTTATGTCTGAAAATAACTTAGTGCAATAAAAATCTAGTGCTCAGAATTATAGCTATTAAGTAGGCCGTAGATACCTTTTTCACTCTTGTTATGTTGACTGAAAATTATCAATAACCTCCACATTATTATGTATAGATTTACGCGAATATTTGACATTTTAAATAAAACTATTTTTTCTCGGGAGTCCCTCCTGTGTCTATGATTGCTGTAAACCATTTGAAACATTGGAAACCAAAAATCTGAGATATAAATCCGCGAAAAAATACGAAAAGATAGTTTTATTTAAAATCTCTACATTATTATTGAAATAACATATTATACTACGTAAATACTTTATTTCTTTATATATCTATATCATAGACGTAGAGAATGGACTGAGCAATACACTCATGAAATTGCCCACTACTAGAAAGAGAAAGCGACCGTACGGCCAATACCTGTCTTTTATTCCAATTTGAATTTATAAAAATTATAATATTGAAGTTTATAATATTATAATGGAATATAAAATTTTTATAACTTCTATCTTCATTAATCGTATTTTAATTAATACAGAAGACTTCTGGCCGCACATTAGTTTTGTCTCTGTCGCGCCTTTCCGCCATTTTCAGTTGACAGCTGACAAAGAAACACTCAGTTCACTCTCTAATCTCTATGTCTATGATCCATATAGTAAAAGTTAGTTTTTGATTTCACTATTAGTCTATGGTCTACACAGATAAATAATTTATGCCTATAATATATCACACACTTTGTTACGCTAATTATATGGTAATTGTGAATTTATTGTGAATGTGAATTAAGTATAGGAATATTATATTATTTTTTATAGGTAATTTTAGTTACATGAGGCTTTCAAAATTATATAGATTTAAATAGACGAGTGGCTGTTTTCGAATCTTGTTTTGTCTTATTGAATTTTATATTATATTTTTTTTGTCGAAATAGTAATTTTTAAATAAAGTTGATAATAAAGCCTTAATATTTAATGGTAACTTGAGTTTTTTTTTTACCAATAATTTATTCTTAGTTTTATCATCATAAGTAAGAATCATATAATAAGTTATCCCTACAGAGAAAAAGCTTCATACAATCGTGCAACGATAGCTATATACTATAATACTACTATATGTCTGTATGTGTATGTGCGTGACAGGTCACTGAGGAGTTCACATATGCGTCCGTTGACAAAATGTTTTTTTCCGGCTCGAACTGTTGAAAATGTCAAGCCGAGCGTGTATCACTCTCAAAAGAAAACGCACACACCGCCGCCTTATGTAGTAGTGTACCTATCGTTA